TCCAGATTGCAATCAGAATTGCGAGAAGTATGCTCAATTGGATAGACAATTTGATCATGTACATGAGGAAAGCAACGCAAAACCCACCACTGTGTCTCACAACACATGGAAGGGAGGGAGCGCAGTCCTCGTCTCCTAGTCAGTTCTTGTCAGCAGTCACGGCTTTGAAAGGCAGCACGGACTGCACCTTCGCCTTGGCCTTCTGCGTAGTGGTAGACTGCGAAAGCTGTTTCTGCAAACTCTCCACCTGTTTCTGCAAACTCTCCACCTGGCTTTGTAGCTGGGCAATCTGGGCGTCCTTAGCGCAATCATCCTTCAAGGCCTGCTCCTGCCCAGTCACCTGTGAGGCACCTGGGCTGCACCCGGCCTCGAGCGATGATTTGACAAGGTCCGCCATCATCTGCATGGTCTGAGCTTGCTGGTCCAAGGCCACCTTGAGGGCAGCCTCTGCGGAATCCCCGGACTTGGAAGAGGGTTTGCTCTCTTCCGGTACCTTCTCTGGGCTCATGTTCTGCTCAACCTGTGGGCCACCGAAGAAGCTCACAACGGCACGAGTCAAAGCACTACCAGCTCTTGCCGGCGGCGAACTGTGCTGAGACTCTTGACCACGTCCGCCTTCCTTGCTCAAGCGATTCACAACCATGGAGAAGCCCTCTGAAATGGCACATTCCAATCTAGAAGTGAGTGCAGATTGGAAAGAGCGGCTAACTGCTTGCTCCAAGCTTCCCGTGTGACCGCCGGAATAAGGACCTGATCTCTGCTCTTGCCCAGCACGCTTGCCGTAGCCCTTGCTGAAGCCATAGCTACCATAGCCCTTGCCATAGCCTTTGCTGTGGCCCTTGCTTTGCCATCCCCAAGTGCTGCGAGGCGTGTGAGGGAACGAACCTTCGCCGGACCTCTCACGGCTTCCTCCATGCCAGGATGACATGCTACGGCACCAGGTCAGGACGAAAAAACTTGTACTGAAAAACAAACTACCCTAGGAGCCGAAAACCCAACCCGACAAAACCAGGGAAAAACAAAAACAAGAAACAAACAAAAACCCCAAACCTAATGAAACCATCCAGCAAGGATCCTTTGCGGCAACGCAGAGTCCATCCAACCAGTCAACATGTCCGTAGCAAGGCTTGATGCTTCAGGAAAGTGCGGTAAGCTCCCCCAAATCCTGCGCAATGCTTTTGCTGGATAACCACTTAGAACCCAAATGCAAATCTCATTTCGGACTGCAGCCCGCAGCTGCTGTGCTTCAAGCTTGAGGGACTTCAGCCTTGTGAGCTTACCTGCAGCAATGCCACGCATTTCACTGAAGTCTGTATGCTGATCACCAAGCCAAGGCTTGATGCGGAACTTTTGCGGCAGACCTGCCCCAGCTGACGCCATCCAAGTATGCTCCACCCCATCAACCCTAACAACTAGACTACCTGAATCACCCTGTAACCAAACATCCAACCAGCGAACCCCAAAACCGTCGGGAAGGGTGGGGTCAAAACAGATGGGCTTAGGGTAAACAAGCTGGGTAAGGCAGTGAAGGCAAGCAGGGCAGAGGGTGCGCGAGCCCATGGCCAGGTCGTCGACGTACCTGGTACAGGCCACAGACTCACCAATGGACGTAGCTTGGCGCGCAACATAACCAGCAGATTTCAATGCATCAAGGGACGCACAAGCCCTCAACTCCGCAAAAGCAAGCACAGCAGACGCGATCGCCTTTGACAGATGACCCCCGATCGGTGCACCGAGGTCTTGCCGGAAGAGAGCCTTCCCCAACCGAACGATGGGTTGCTGCAAGGCCAAATCAAGCACAACGGAGATATCTGACCAGGTCCAAACAGTGCAATTGGATTTGTAGCGAAAATCACTGAAAGTCAACCATGTGTGAAGCCGCTTAGACTTGGCAACCGCAATTCCCTTAGCTTCAGGCTTTAGCTGCCGTATCCGAGAAATGAGAAAAGCAACAGCTTCTCTAATTTTTTCAGGGTGCAGCTCTTCATACATTTGCGCAGCATCACAAACGCAAATGGACAGCAAAGGCTTCGGCGAGCAACAACGTACGCAGACAAGACTGTCACAAGCAAGCTTACTAACTGCGGCCCGAAAGTCTTCAACTGCAGAAAACAAGTTGGCAGTTTCAAGCCCAACGCCCAGCAAGCTAATGAGGCCAAGAAGGGCTCTGCCAACCCCTTTGTACATATTTCTGGCTGGGTGTGAGCGCCAAGAGATTATTCTCCGAAAACATGAGTGGCCAGGCTTCTGACAAACATGCTCAGTACAACCATCTACGTCTTGCACAGCAAAGCACTTTGCCTTCAGAGTGCAGTACGCGTATGGGAGCTCAAAACCTTCCCAACGTCTCTTTGAAGCCCAACGCCGCAGATGAACAGGGAGAACCTGCAGATGCAACTGGCGGTATTCTAATTCTTCACACACCGCGCGCGCACATGCAAACACCGGCGTCCAATGCACAGTGTCCTGGCGGAACAACCAAAAACACCACTTTTCATAGACCAAAATCGGCATGACCCAAGCAGCGTTCTTGTCTTTATCCTCCTGGACAAACACTTCGCAGGAAGAGCACACAGGCAATCTGCTTTCATACTCAACGTACATGGACGACGGCCGTGACACATGCAAGTGGGAAGCAAAGAGACGCTCGCACGCAGTGTGGGGTATGTCACAACTCAACTTGTGAGCCAACCAACTCAGTGACCCATACGCCTCACGCACAATGTCCTGTCGTGACTGCCACACAGGGATACGCCAATGCAGTTTGACTCTGCGCATGCGTTTACATTCAGCAGCAGTGGGCCGAACCCTTTGCAGCTTACAAGCAGAAAGAAAAGTACCAAACCCCCTGGCAACAGAAATGAAACGCCATCTATCAGCAAAAGTGCGCCTGCGACCTCGGACAGGTTGCACAGGAGAAGCAAGCCAAGCTGCATGCACATTGCCAACTGCAACAGTTTGCCTTTTCATGGAACACATGAGCTGGCGAAAAATCCACATGGGAAGAGCGGCCGGCCATGTGACACAAACACATCGAAGAGGCGCTAAGCCAAGCCATACAAGGTGTGCAGAAATTCGTCTCTGGGCGCGGGCTTTGGCATTTCCACGCTTCATGTATCGAATCCTGGTAGCCAAACGCGTTGCACGCAAAGCAACAGCACGGGTATCAGGAGCACGTAAGGCACCTAATCGTTGATGCAAACTGTCCCAATCAACTTCCTGCACATCTGCGATGTACCGCGCAAGCAACCCCGACATGTCATGACTAGCAATGTCAACAGGACCAAAACCAACACCCCTAAGCAACCCCAATTTTAAAGCCAAGTCATAGCCAGCCGAGAACTTGACACCTGAAATTGCAGCGAGCTGGCTGCGCAACGGCTGTTCTTGCAACTTGCGTGCATGCAAAGACAGGTTACGGACCCCAGCACGGCACCAAGCATCAAACGAGGTCAAGTGAGCCCACACCGCATTGCCTGGGGGAACTCGATGCTTGGGGCGCGCACGGTTGTCACAGGAAGCTTTGGACCGACGTGCTCTGCGAATGTATTTGCTGCCAACAGACCTACTGTTGCCTTCCTGCTGCCAGCAAGCAATGGCAGCCTCCTCCAGGCAACGAATGTGAATTTCTGGCCCTTGTTTAAGCACCCGAAACATATGATCGCAAACACGCACTGCGCGAAAAAGGCGACACTTTCGCTTCATTGGACAGGGAGCTTCCACATTAGCACGCGGCGGTAGCTTGTGCTCGAGAATGTGCTGGTACGCCCTAGTCACTGGCGAAGAGCCTGAGCAACCAAACCTCTTTACCCCAAACGAAGTAGACCCCACATAATTGATGTGGGGAGAAGACAACTGATACAAGACGGCATGTCCTTGTTTTTCACATGCAGCAGCAAAGATCTGCAAGCTCAAAAACCGTGTCACGCCTGCCTTGGAGCTAGCAGTCCAACCAAGAGGGTCAAGGAAAGCTTGAAACACGGGCGGCGGCAAGCCTAAACATCTGCGACTGGCACGCTTACGCTTTCGGTAACCACCACGGGACTGCCAATCAGTAATCAAGGCAAGTTTTAGGCTGCCACACGCAAGGAAAAGAAAATCCGTGGTCAGAGACGTGCTTCGTTTGGTGCGCAAGAACGGGGGAAATATCCACAAGCAAAGGGCTTGCAAGATGACACTGAAGCTTTGCACATGCTCCCACGTCGTCGCTTTAGACTCCAAGAGGCAAGCAACACAAGCTGCAGCCGTCAACATGGTGTCCACAACATGAGCTTCAGGCAACCGGACAGCAATGTCAGGCTTTGCACTTTTCAAAGCAAATTTCCAAGCTTCAACCCTATCGGCGGGAATGTTGAGACAAGAGCACCAGGCATGCAGGCAGTGCAACACTTTTGCAACCATGGCTTGTTGCGAGAAGGCAAGAAAGCCCGACTCCTCCAACAACAGCGGGCAAGGAGCACAACGCACGCGAGCATATGACAAGACAGGCACTGGCAGCCTGCTATCAGATTGAAAGTGATCTCTTCGAGATCTTGGCGGCGACACCAAACTCCAAGCATGCTGCATGGCTCTTCGAAGCGCAGCTCGTAGCATCGCAACTGGTTCAGCAAGATCTCACGCGCATGCTGCCAAATCAACCATGCAAAAAGGGGAAGCACACGTCGACGAAGCCTCTTCCACCCCTTGTGCCTGAGGCAGCGGGCAGGAGGACGTTTTCGTCTGCCGCGCCGGCGACGAGATGCGCTCACTACATTGGACTGAAAATACAGGGTAAGGTTTTGGGTGTTGGCACGGCCAGGTTGCAACCCTAGCAGCCTAACGCCCAGATTGCAGCAAAAGAGCATAAGAACTCTGAGGCTGAACCAGAGGAGCCATATCAAAATGCGTATGTATATGAACATTGTAACAGCGCTTTCCGTTGACTCAACTCGAGAGGAGTCCGAGCTCAAAGCGCCGACACTAAAGAACTCGCAGGACCTGTTTCCATCGCACTTGCTTTCGGGTCGTCCGCCATCCGG